TGAACCACGAGTACATCGGTCAGATCAGACGACTGGTAAAGGGAACGACCGGAATTAGTGAGCGCCACTGTATGCGATGCGGTGCTCTGCATACATCATCGCACCTCAGCATGTTGGTGACGATGGCAGAAAGGAAAACACCAGAAAGGCCGAGTATCTTCCCCAAACTGCAGTCAAGAGCTTCGAGTTCCTTAGTGACAGCCACCATAATAGAAATGCCAGGCACTGCTGTTTTATAACACAAGGATATAATGAAACACATCTTGAGGAGAGAAACAATGCGCTATTGTGTCTCGCGAAGTTTGGGCCAAGATCTCAGTTTTGCATGTGTTTGTATTTAGAGAAATAAATCTGCCTTAACAATTCTCTAATCAGTGGCATAATAACATAGAAGCTGCCATCTGTGAGTTTAATCATCTGAAGACTGGAAAAACCTGATGGCGATCCTGAGGGAAAAGCCCCAGCAGAAGAAAGCTGAGCAGACACACAGACTGTGGCTACGAGACGACAAAAGAAGCAGTCAGCTCGTTCAAGTCGGCCAAACCAGTTATTTAGCATTATGACATCTGTGAGCTAACTGTGCTTTTTTTCCGAGCGAAGTCTGTGGTATCACCCAGGTTGGCTAAATGACTGGTGGGTAACCCTAGGAAGAGAATCTTTCACGACGGTGACCGCATCTTTAGGAATCGGGTCTCACGCGTCCCGTGAGCCACAAGGGGTCCGCGAAGCCTGACGGTCCACCAGCTCCTGGACCGCGTAGCTGGAGCTCCTGGGCAGGACGCCCCGTCCCCCGTGACTATCTCAGCGCCCACACGCACTGAGTACTCACTCGGTCATGAGACGTATCTGCATATCCCTTTGGAAAGTTCCTGGCTTCTATTCGGAGAGCTGCTCGCTGGAGCATGTCAATTCACCAAACATGCCAACACTGCGCCTGCGGAGCGAGGGGGGGGAGCACGGAAACGCCAAGAACCCAAACCTGGAGCTGGGTATGGCGTATGGGACAGAGGCACAGCCCCTCCCCCCTCTCTCCACCCTGGAGCAAGCAATGGGAGACGCCAAGGCAGGGGTGGAGAACACAACAGTTCAGGGGAGGCCACGGGTCAGGAGAGGTAGCACCTCATCTCTGATGAGGGGCCCCCCTGCCCCTCCGTCCTGGGGCTACAAACGCAGGGCTTATAAGTCTGAGGCAGGCTGTTGATGTCCCCTTCCCACGACACTCTCGTCTGCAGCCTGCCGTGGAACACATACTAAAAGATGGGAATATGAATAACCGTGAATACTCACGGGGTGTTTATCGTGTGCCGGGTAGGATTCCAAGTGCTTTACCATATGTACATATGAGCCAATGAGGATGAAGCTCTCTTCCTGACTAAACCCCACACACTGGCTAAAATGTCACTGTTATTGACGTCGTGTGTGTATATGAAATGAACATCCGTCTTCCAGCCTTCTAAAAATTCCATTCTACTTCCAGAGTGAGACTCCTGAGAGCCCCCATTAGGAAATCGCCCCCTCACTGGAGACACTACCTGGAAAAGCAATCAGAAAGTGAAGCATAGGCAGATGTTGAAGGGCCCCCTCCCTACGCCTCTTAAGCGTCAACAGGAAAGTAAAGAAGTCGCTCTCACCAAGGAAATAAAATTGTACGCAAAGCAAAATTAGAACAAGTAATCGAACTCCGCGGCCCCTGGTCTTTTCTTCAACGGGGCAGACAGTTGCTCTTAACTGTGCTGGTCCTGGGGCATTTAGGTGTGTATATTACATAGGAGGAAACGAGGCTCTCCGGAGACCAGTATAAAGACGTGACCAATCTGTCAGCACGGGAAGCAATGGTAATAGTGTGCCCCACCTGGAGTATTTCATGCCCCGGCTGAGATAGGAGACTTGAAAAGTGTTGACCACACTTATCAATGACCAAAGGGGCACAAGAAACTGCTGTGAAGAGACCGTTTCCACGTCAGATCCAAAGGTGATGATCCCAGATCTCAGATTTTGCACGTCAAGAACCATCAAGAAATTCAAGGGTTAACTGCTCAGGCTCCATCCATTAGCCCATCAGTCATCAATGGGAAGTTACGTTCACAGTCTTGGGTGGGGTGCCATGGAGAATGTAAGAAAGGAGGACAGGAGGCAAGATGGCGTTTGCAAAAATGTTGCATCTGAAGTCCATCAACTTAAATGAATCCACGGTCAGGAGCTTGGGTCTGGTTGGTTTAGATTGAACACCTACCCCTCTCCAACCCAGTACAAACGTCAGCATGACATGTCCACCTGGCAGAAAGTAACAGACATGTGAGAAGGAACCTCCCTCTTCCTGCCATTCAAGGGGAGTAAATCCCACCAGGTAGCGTGACAGCAACCCAGCAGGCAAGCCTCCAAAGTTGTTGATCCTACAGACCTCGCTGGAAGTCTAAGAAAGCCAACAGGATTATACTGATCGAGCATCACAGTGTTCTTATTGGTTAGTTGCTCCAGGTCCCCAGGGAGGGTCTGACATTTTCATTTCCTTTCTTACAGGCCCCTGAATCCAAAAGGGGTTAAGTTCCTGCCTTGGGCCGCACCATAAGTGGGCAGAGAAGCTGAGATAAACCACGGAGCACCTGCTACGGCCCCCAGCCACACTCCACAGCACATCACTTCACTGGCCTGAATGACGCGATGGAAAGGAAGCACGGAGGGTTCTGTGTACGTGCGGGTCCAGCACGGGGTCCGGATTCCGTAAGCTAAGCTTCTGCTGAGCCCCATGGGAAATGTGGGGGTCTGGGGGTCAGGCAAATAGTCCCCTCTGGGAATCCAACCTCTTACATGTTAACCTTATCAATGCTTTTATTTACTTAGTTATTCGGGGGGGGGGCGGGGGGGCAGAGAGAGAGAGACAGAATCACAAGCAGGCTCTGCACTGTCAGCACAGAGCCCAACATGGGACTCGAACTCACGAACCGTGAGATCATGACCTGAGCTGAAATCAAGAGTCGGACGCTCAACCCGCCGAGCCACGCAGGCACCCCTCCGTCGACGCTCTTTTATTGCATCTCCTCGCCTGGTCCACCAGGCCCTCCTTCCCCTCCCCCCAGCACAAGGGCGCCGGGAGGTGTCCTGCCCGACCCTGCTGTCCCAGCTGTGCTACATGCCAGCCAAGAGTGTCAACAGAGAGAGCTCATCCTTTTCAAACAGATCTCTTCTCAGGTATTATCAACATTGCAAAACGCTTCTCCACGTTACGAAAGCTTGATTACCGGGTTCCCGGGAAGTGACCCGACACAACCCAAGCCCAGGGCTTTCCACCCCGTCCTCAGTCTCACACGCCCTAGGCCTTATTTTCTCCAGAATCCAGACGGCCAATGTGCCGAGGGCATTTGTGTGCAACGGAACTGACGCTGACTCCCTGCCCAGCAGCACCCGCGGCCCAGCCCTCGTCCAGCAGGGCCAGGGAGAGAAGGCATCCGACGGCGGGCGTCGTCCTCCTGCGTTTCGTGCCCCACCGCCCAGGCCACGCTGATCTGGGCTCTGCACCAAGCCAGACACGCGGGACAGCGGAACCCAGCCAAGGCCTTCAGAAACCAGCAGCCCCACGCCTCTTCTTCCAGCGAAAAGCAGCCTGAGGCTCAGGTCACAGTGTCACTCCCCAAACTCACCTGGCCCGAGGTCTCATATCACGTACGACCCGACCCGATCGTGCCCCTGCCCGGGGGCTGCCGGGTTTGGCAGCTGCAGACAAGGGACGGACGTGTCCCTTTTCTCCCCCAGGGAACAAATTCACATCGAGTAACTGAGCAACCGTCTGCACGTCCTGGGGCAAGGTCAGCACGGCCTCTCAGAAGCTGCGCAGACGGGACGTGATGCTCAATTCCGTGTGTGACCAAGACTGTGCGCCTGGATCGGCGGTGGCATCAGATGCGGGCCACGTGGGGACCTTTCACGCCAGCAGGCCCGCGGGCACGCCAAGCGCTAAGTCGGGTTCACACACTGGGCAGAGCAGGGGCGGCCGAGTCACCTCCCGGACGCACGGTGAGTCAGCAGCCGGCCGCTCCCCGCCTGGGACGCTCGTCCTCACCCTCCCCCGTGGGTCCTGCTGGTCGTGGCTTCGAGCTGCCCCCCGACGCCTCCTCCCGGCGCGGCTCTGCCCCCGTCACCCTTGGCTAACACCGGCACGCTGTTACCCGATGGCTGTGCCAGACGCCTCGAGAGGCCCTTGGCACGAGACCGTGAGGCTCGGCCCAGAGCAGGTGGAATCTGGACAGGGGCCAGCTGCTGATCACAGCGAGACAAACTTTGCTGTCGGTCTCTCTGTATTTTACGGGCCCCATTTGTTTACCTGCTTGTTTCTGCAGGTTAGCGAGAAGCGGGCTTCGATCCTGCTCCAACACCAACGGCACTGTTTGCCCCGGCACTGAGCAAAGGGAGAGGGGCGGACCGTGCTGGCCCCAGTCCCCCAGGGGAGCCCGAGACTCCTCCCATCCCTGAGCACTCTGGCACCCGAAGTGCACATCTCACCGGGCCCCGGGGGCCTAGTGTGGCTGTTTGCCCGCCACGTGGCAGTGGCCACTTAGCGGGATGGACGCCCGCCTTCTAGAAGACAGGGCTCTGTGTTACAGCTCTGGAGGGTGTCAGGGCTCGGTGCCCGGGCGCTCAGCGAAACTCGTGGCTGATGGTAATGGTGGGGAAATGGCAATGAAAACTCAGCAGTCCAGGGCGGTCACATCAAGGGCCCCAGGAACCCAGGCCCGTGTGGCCATCAGCTCCCCCAGAGAACGTGTGGAGAATAAGAAGCCTCTGGCCAACAGCCCGGATGACAAATACCTACTCCTGGCCTGCGCGATCGGAGACAACAGAAGGATTCGGTGAGACGCTCACTTCTCATTCCCAGCCCTCCCCGGGCTGCTGGGGAGCTCGTGTGCATCTGCGAATCCACACGTGACCTACAAAAACTCAGGCAGCCTCCCGCAGACTCATAAAGTGGGAGCAGCTGAGACGCGCTGTGAGTAGTGGCCACTCACTTTCGCACGTGGTCCTTGAGGGCCCTCGGCCTCCTCAAAATGAGATTGTTGGACGGGCTGACGGCCGAGGGCTCGCCCACATGGAACACTGACACCTGCCTGGAAGTGTCATGGGAACGCGTGGGTCAGGTTCAGGCCTCCGGCCGGTGGGTGACCCACAGTAAACTTGGTGGCCCGGGTCACGTGAGGCCCAACCAGGATTCTGTCAAAACCCCAAGTGGCGGTAATATTCCCGGCCTACGGCAGTGGTGACCCGAGGGCCCTGATTTTGTCATAAATTCACTGGCCGTTAGAGGAGAAGGGATCTTGGATTTGGGAGTCTTTGAGAGGCCACACAGCTTGCTCGAGGGGGCCTCCACCCAAGTCCGCGGCCATATAGGAGGTGGAGGAGGAAGGAGGCCAAGAGCACACGCACCCCAAAAATGACTTAGAATTACGAGAAGTGACTCATTTCATCTCTTTGCGCTTTGTCATTTCTACTTTGCGAAGAAATATTTCAGCCATTCACCAGCGCTGAGTACCAGGAAGAAATGTGTTTATGTGAAACCCAAGAAGCACGTCTAACGATTTAAAAATGGCTACTCCATGGCCATGAGGAGAACACAGCAGGGTCACCATCTTGCCAAGAAGAAAAAAGGAAGCCACGTCCCAGATTTTTTAAAAAGAGTTTGCTGTGTGAGATTTTTACATAGATAGTCTGCACGTTCCGTAAGGAAGTAATTGTTTTAAATTAAACTAATCAGGAGGCACCTGGGTAGCTCAGTCCTTAAGCTGCGGACTCTAGATTTCGGCTCAGGTCACGATCTCTTGGTTCATGAGTTCGATCCCCGAGTTGGGCTCTGTGCTGACAGTGTTGCAGCCTGCTTGGGAATGATTCCTCCTCTCCCTCTCTCTCTGCCCCTCCCCTGCTCTCTCTCCCTCTCTAAGTAAATAAACTTTAAAACAAATAAACTAATCAGAACAGAAACGTCTCGAAGGAAGACAAGTTGCTTTTGATAAGAGAGCTTGGCAGCCGGTCTTCTGTGCCCCCGGTACAGCACGAGGCCACTGGGTCGGATCTCGTGTGGAAACTGGTTGTAGAGGGCATGTGATGCACCAACCAGAAAACACACACACGGCATGGGTGCATAGAGTGCTTTTGAGAAAAAGAGTGTGAGGATCAGTGAGGGCTCTTTAAGAGGAGAGGCACAAATTAAAAAA